TTTAGCCTGTAAAGGTGAACCAACAATGGGCAAAAGCGCCAGAACCTGGTCGCCTGGACTAAAGTCATGGCACACAGAATGATGGTCATACAACTCTTTCATTTTGTCCTGGGACACAGACAATTTTTCCCGTGCCATACAACCAGCAACAAACAATCAATGACGGAACCCGTTCACATAATCCAACAAACTGCTCAGTGGCTTAGTGTCAACGCAGTCCCCCTTCAGCACTGCTAAAGGACCCCGCACAACATGCCCAAAGACCAACTCATTTGGGCTAAAGCCTGTGCTTTCCTGTACTGCCTCTCGCGCAGCCAACATTAGCCACGGGACCCCATCTTCCCAGTCTCTATCCAACTCCGTGCAGTAGGCACACAGGAGAGACTTAAGCGTCTGATGGAACTGCTCGAGGGCACCCTGGCTCTGTGCATGATAAGCTGTTGACTGATTCTGTCTAATACGCAGCAGCCTCAGCACTTGCTCAAACAAGTTAGATGAAAAGTTTGATCCTTGGTCACTCTGAACCACTTTGGGGATACCAAATACTGAAATAAACTGTGACAATGCCTTAACCACAGCCTTGGTCGTAATCGACCTCAAAGGATAAGCCGCCGGATACCAGGTGCACTGACACATTACCGTCAACAGATATTTACAACCAGATTTGGACGGTGGCAATGGACCCACACAGTCTACAATGAGGTGTGTAAAAGGTTGACTCACGACCGGGATAGGCTGCAGCGGGGCCGGCCTGAGACTTTGGTTAGGCTTTCCAGTGAGCTGACACACATGGCAGGTTTTAATATACGCGGACGCATCACGCTTAACATGCGGCCAAAAGAAGTGCTTCAAGATGTTCAAATATGTTTTCCGCACACCAAAATGTCCACACTCGTCATGTGCTACCTTCAAGACAAGAGGGCGAAACTTCACTGGCACCACCAACTGGAAAACATCACCCTTCACACACTCGTCAACAACAGGAACCCATTTTCTGAAAAGCACATCATTATGCACAAAGTAACCATTTGCAGCACTGGATATTTCCGAGGCAGACAAGGCACGCTCAAACACCTCTTTCAAGGACAAATCACTACGTTGCTCCTGTACAACCTCCCCGTGTGACAAAGATAAAGGAAGTTCAGACAATGAAGGAACCTTCAGAGCTACATCACTGTTACTGTCAGGCCCTACAGGCTCCACTGTGCTCATAGTGCGCATAATCACGCACGACGAAGAAACATCTTGCAACGCACTGGAGCTCTCTCCAGACACAGACTCAGACAGAAAATGTGTAACTACAGGCGAGGGAGGCGGGTCGGTGAGAGGTGTGGAAGGAGCATCCGCTCAAACCCGTCTGCCAGCAAGGCCGTTGCCTAAAATTAAATGCAGCGCCGGCCTCACCCCAACAGCCCTTATTTTGATCCTCAAAACAAGGTGCACACTGACCCCCATCTACTGTAGGTAATACACCATAATTAAGGATCTCATGCAGCCCCAATTCAAAAAACCTTAAGTGTCCCTTTCAACGACATTAGATTAACTTTTCATTCATTCTTTGGAGACCTAACCAAACCTTAACGGTACCCAGGCGTGGCATTACGGCATGGGCTTTTTTCACAGCCCCCGTAACTCTGAGTCTGGCCCCCCTGTGGCCCCCCCGCCGAAGAGTCAGAGGGGCAACGTGGAATGCGGAACTAAATCTTCTCAACGGGTTGCCAGACGGACGACTTAAAGAGGCGCATCCATCTGATCATGCGGAATACACCACACAAGGAGGAAAAAGGGCGCAAGTTTTCTAGTGTATATATACAGTGTTTTCCATATATTGACTAATTTGCCCCTCCATAGTCTCCAAAGCCAGGCCAAGCCAGATATAAAATTCTTCCGGTAAATGAACGTCACTCTGTAGCGCACTGGCTGGAGCGCCTACTGAGAATTCTTTGGCTGCCCCCTCCCTCCTCCTCACCCTCCCTGGCCTCACCACAGACGTTGCTCTCCTAGTGCTAGTGTGAGCTTGAGTTGATAGAGCAGAATGCATTTCTAAGCGGAACACTGAGGAATACTGACATCCACTTCATGAAGCATTCTTGAAAACACCCGTTTTCATCAGTAGAGAATTGTGTGGCTGTATTTAAGACTAAACTGTATTTAAGACTGAAACTCTGAGCCTGCACGGCAACACACAGCACCACTGAAGTAAGCTCTGAAAACTTTTTCTCTCATTTGGCTCATGGTAGTTACATGTCACATCATGTTGATATAGCGATGTGAAATACGATCTGGAGTTTTCATGGATGTTTTATTTCAAAAATTGACTGGATACTCTCTGTGCCTGACTTCCTGTTTGACTCATTTGGTCTGTGCAAATTGACGTGCTGTCACGAGGCGTCCGTCAGAAATAGACCCAGCGCGTATTATTAGCGGAGTGGAACGCCGAGCCGCTTCTAGGCCTCAGCTGGTGGAGCAGCTTATATTGACTTGTGTGTATGAGAATTTTAAAAGAATATTTTGTCTGCACATGATTTAAAATAATAAAATAGCCCTCCAGAGGCAGATCAGTACGTCAGTCATTTTTCTTTTGATTACTGAAATGTTTAAAGGGCCAGTGTGTAATATTTGGCATGGTTTATTGTCAATCTGAATCTGAATCTGAATATTCTACCCATTAATATTTTTATACAAGTGTATAATCGCTATAAAATAAAATTTGTTCGGTTTTCGTAGCCTTATAATTATGCTTTTATATATATATATAGCAAGGGCCTTGCTTTAGAGAGATCGCCATCTTGCGCCGCCATGTATGTACGGCAGACCGAGTGGACAATCCAGCCAGCTAGAGAACACGTTTCGTGTGTATAAATGAACCAACAAAGACAGCGGAAGGAAGGAAGAAGGAGGAGGAAACAGCAGAGAGTGTTGGTAGTTCGTTGATAGAGAGTAGTGAAAAGTTTTTTTAGTTATAAAGTTTGCGAATGGACCACACTTTCCACGCAACAGGAGAGAATGAACCTGAACCGTCATCTGCGAGGAAAAGAAGACGCAACTTCACTCCTTGTGATGCACTCTCTGCGGCGCTTTTCCTCCTGGTGATATATCTCCCCAACAATGGCAGCAGTAGCACCGAATCCCATTCTGTGCATTCAGCCTCTCTTCTCACCCGCTCAGCATCCAACACATGGAGTTCCTCATCTGTATGCTCCGGCTCAAACAGGTATGGCTCTGGGTCTGTGTCCGCTACAAGAAACTCTTCAAAATCACGTTCAAAGTCATCCATTGCAGCTACTATAGTCCGGAGATATCGCTAGGCTAAATAAACAGCTGAGCTCTGTTACCGGCTACGCTGTCAGTCAGTGTGCGGGCTGGAGATTGGTGGAGCAGAGAGGGGAGGGGGTACCCACTTGGTATTGTAAACGAGTATGTACGTAAAGTTATGAAGTGTGTCTGTTACGCCAGAAGAGTCAGAGTTTGGGACGGAGTGGAGTGTTACCGGAGTTTCTGGAGTGCTCAAATAAACGGGCCTTTTTCCCGAACGCTCCTCTGGTCTCCTGCTCGTGAGTGATTCATTACAATATCATAACATGGTTTAGATTTCTAAATAAACATTCACCTCATCTCTAGATAGATCTACTCCTGAAAAACTCGTGTGCAAGGCTTTTTTGTCCCTACGAGGCCACCGTCATTTACCCGACGGGAGGGGTGAGCGAGTGAGCCCTGCAATCTAGAATTTGACCACTGATGTCACTGTTTCCAACGGTTTTCAACCCATTTTACACACTGGCCCTTTAACCACTAATCCTTAGCCGTATTTTAAGTGTAACCCTTCACCATAACATGCCACTAGTGTTTTTAATCAGTAAAAATACAACATTTTTCACACATGAAAAGCACAAAGATGTATAAATCTATGCATATTCTGCCATCATAACTTGGCTCTCAGAATTCACCAGACTGATGCCTTTAAATCAAATATATACAAAATTTTCTCCCAGGGGAGCTAGCCCGCAGACCCCCCTACAGGATTCAGAACAACCCCCCCATACTCTCCAAAAATACTGTGGGAAACACTGATATATATCTTATTGTTCAGACTTAGATATTTGACCCTACCTGTATGTGCCCCTGTATCAAAAGGACTGGGCCTAGCTTGGCCCCCCCATTGAAACTGGCGTAGAACCGCCACTGCGTACAGGCATTGGAAAATAAAGTGAATCACCAACAGGAGATCAGGAACTGTAATATCCTTTGATTCATGAAACCTTGTTAAATTCTGCACAACACCGTTCAACCAGGTGATTCTTTTCCAATATGCTAATCTGACGGAGCAGAGGACTCTGGTGAGAGAAGGGAGGATGAGTGTGCTTTATGGTGAGGACTGGTGTGATGCTAGGACTGGGATGTGCTGTCCCGGCCGCTCCTGCTGTGGAGCTCTGCTAAAAGTGGCTGTAGTGTTTAGGAGGAGCTACCCTACAGCTGTTTTATTAAGGTCAGACTGTGTGGACAGTTAAATCATTCCACAATCAGAAACCGTGGATTACTAGAACCATCCAAAAACATGGACAATTATAAAGCAGCAGCCAACAATGTAAGGAGACACAAAAAAGGAGTAAATTACAAAGCACAAGTAAAAGGAGCTGATTGGATCACATTTCATTGAGTCGTACCTTGTATATTTCCATGTGACAAATCATAGATAGATAGATAGATAGATAGATAGATAGATAGATGGATGGATGGATAGATAGATTCAGATTGTGCAAATGGTTCTTCCATGAGGTCTCGGTGTGTTTTGATGAGAAACACTGGATCTTTAACCATAACCACTACATTACTTACTCCAGCCTGACGTCCAACCTGAAGTCTTACCCTTAAAATGAAATGGTTTGTCTTTCTGGGAGAAACTTTGAGTCACTCAACACCCCAAATGAGTGGTGAGTTCCAAAAAAGTGACTGTATGAAAAATTATTAGTCCCTTGGCTCCCAAGTACATGTCTACTTACCTCATGTATATCCATGTCCTCAGGGTTCTCCCATCTTCTTAGAGAACCCAGGGTTAGGGGGACAACCACTATGTAGTACCACCTGTATCAAAACAGTAACATAACTGCATTACACATCCATGTGCTGCATATACATACATAATACAGGTTAATGTGATTGTTTCATTTTAGTCATCTATTGCTAATGTTATGACAGTTTCTTGAAGGACTTTTTTGTTTTCAACTTTTTCCTAGTGAAAAGGTCATTCATACAGAGATGGTAGTAGTTTTTTGTGTTTTTCTACATCAGCCCCATCTCTCTTTTTACTGCTTACTTTTGGATGATTTATTCGGAGAAACAAACACAATTATGTCCAAGGCTTTGCAGTGCTTGTCTTCATGATTGAGCTACGTAATAATAAAAAATAACCTTGTAATGATTTGCAGCCTTTTCATTGGGATTCTCTTTGCTGATCAATTGTGTTTTTAAAGCTGTCTAGTGTCAGGAAAGAGCATTGGCCATGCGGTTGTAGTGTACCAAAACAGAGGTTTTAATTATTGGTCCTGAAGACAAGAGAGAGAAACTTTTACCAAAACTACAAGATTTTAAACCTTCACAATGTGTAAAGAACCTGGGCGTCATTTTTGACTCTGAGCTTAGTTTTATTCCACACATCAAAAATGTAACAAAGACAGGTTTTTATCATCTTAAGAATATAGCCAGAGTCCGCCCGTTTCTCTCTCAGGCTAACACGGAGGTGCTGATGCATGCTTTTATCTCTTGTCGTTTAGATTACTGTAATGCCCTGCTGTCTGGTCTTCCCAAAAAGACCATCTCTAATCTGCAGCTACTCCAAAACTCAGCCGCACGAGTGCTGACGAGGACCAGAGGGCGGGAGCACATTTCACCAGTTTTACAATCGCTGCATTGGCTCCCCGTGTGTTTCAGGATCGATTTTAAGGTTCTTTTATTAGTTTTTAAATGTCTTAACGGTCTTGGGCCATCTTATTTATCTGACCTGCTTTTATCATATCAACCCTCGCGGATCCTGAGGTCCTCCGGCACCGGCCTTTTAATTGTTCCAAGAGTTAGAACAAAAACCCACGGGGAGGCTGCATTCAGCCATTATGGCCCTCACTTATGGAACAGCCTGCCGGAGAGCATCAGGACTGCAGAGACTGTTGATGTTTTTAAAAGGAGGCTCAAGACTCACCTTTTTAATTTAGCTTTTAACTGATTTCTTTTACTCTTTTAATTCTTCTATTATATGTTATTTTTACTTTCTAATGCTTTTAAATGATTTATTTTTAAATCTTTATGCATTTTATTATTATTTAGTTTCTAAATCTTCATTTATTTATTTACTATTATTAATATTATTTTAATCTTTAAATCTTTAATTTTTTCTAATTTTTATGCATTTTATCATTATTTTATCTCATACTTGTTTTATCTTATCATATTGCTCCAGTGTTTCCTCATGGGGGGCCTCCACACTGAGAGGTGTGTCCGGTCTGCCCACAGGGACCATTTAAGGATGAACCAATGAGAGAAGAGGGCGGAGTTAAGGATGAGCCTATGAGAACCGTGGGAGATGTTGAGAAGTGGATAAAAAACAGGTTCTGTTAATTCTTTCATTCTACTTTGTACTCAGCATGGATCTGCAAATGTTGGAATCGATTTGAGTGGACAATGCGGTTTCTACACCGGTGGATGAAGAAGAAGAGGAAGAGATGAAGAGAGGAGAAGACTCGCCTGACAACTGGTCCTCATCAATGCTCAGTCAGACGACTGTAACATTCTATCAAGATGCTACCTAGGTACCAGGCGCTCCAAAGAAGAGGTTTCTGATGTATCTGTGCCGTACCCAGATGCCGCCATCAGGAACTCTGCATGAAGAATGGTCTCTACAACCGTGGATGTCTGGATCTTGGGGTTATGTGTTCAGATACGAGGTGAGCGAACTGTGTTTGTATCAGCTGGGTGAGTGGGAAAGTCTGAGTCCTTCAACCAACATGACGGTGTTGACCACCGAGGATTGGGCAGTGATGAAGATGATGTTAAGGATGGTGGTTTCTATGAATAACAAAGATGTGAGTGCGGAGAAGCCTGATGAAAAGGACACATCTGATAAAGAGAACGAGGATGCTGATGTGATGACGTCTGAGACAGGGTATTATTCAGAGGAAGAGGAGGAAAAGTTGGAAGAGGAGGAGGAGGAAAAAGAGGAGGAAGAGGAGAACGGGAAGAGACTGCATAGTGAGAGTCCTCCTCGAGAAAAGTCTCAGAGGATGGGTATTCAGTTAAACGACAATGAGTTGTCAAAGACGAAATCATCTTAGGGGCATTATGGCAATCCAAAACAACAGTCTCAATTTTTTTTTTTTCCCTTACAGAAAAAAGAAAAGAAAAATGTCACACTTTGCCGTGATGGAGGAGGTTGAATTTGACCCTAGACTGAAAGTGCCTTTTTCATGTCTTATAGTTGGACCCAATGGCTGTGGGAAAAGTTATTTTGTAAAAACTGTACTGGAAAACAAGTACTGTACCTCAGAAAATTGTGTGGATTTTTACTTCATTCCAGCCTATGTATGATGAACTGCAAAAAATGAATAAAAATATTACATTTATCGAAGGGCTACCTGATTCTTTTGAGGAATTTGAAGATGTTGTGGTCATCCTGGATGATGTTATTTTTCAAGCCTTTGATCATCCAGAGGTGGTTAAAATTTTTACACAATACCAACATCATAAAAATATGTCGGTCATGGTGTTGACTTAGAATGTATTTCATCAGGGTAAATACAACTGTACAGGGGCGAAAATCCCATTTCATAGTTGGGGGGGACAATAAACAGTAAAATTTTAGATAATTATTCCAGGGGGGGACAAGGAAAAAAAGTTGTAGCCTGTCTTTTATACAGCATCTTTTACCGCAATTTGACACTTTAATCTTCTCTCTATCTCTCCAACAGGCAGGCATAGGACCTTTCTTAGCACTGGCTGAGTCCACCTGCACATGTCCAGATTTAAAACAAAATGACTGAAATCAAATTAACATGTACACATCGACAACAGTCAGGTGCGCCGTGCTGTCCAAGGTGCTGAGTGTGTCTGGAGCAGAGCAGGTCTCTGTCTCCCCATGCACAGTAGTGTGAATATTTAAGAAAACGGAGAAAACATGTCTCTCATTGTTTAATAGCAGCAAAACAATAAGGCTTCATCAAAGACAAAAACTCGATCTCTCTCCTTCTCTCCCTTTTTTTTTTGTTTTTTTTTTACCGGCAGTGAGATCATAACTTTAAAAAATGTTTGAAAGAAAAGTAACCAAAGAAAATGTGTAATACTGAATATTTTGTTTGTTTACAAGGTATTTTGAATTTTGAAACCCGTTTTATTGACCTGTTCGTAATAAATTACTTTTTTTGGACTTTAAACATTTATCTCAGCATTGCAAGTTATTGATAACGAGAGAGTCAAGACTCAAGCCAGCAGCAGCCACATGTAGAAAAGTGGATATACAGTGAATGTATATACTTAGCCCCTGCAGCTGTACTATCAGTTTAAACAGCAAGTATATGGTGTTGTTCAAAAACCCCAGAGACAAATTACAGATGAATATTCTAGCTCGTCAAATTTTCCCCTCACAAAAACATTTTTATTGGAAAGTTTTAAAGATGCCACCAAAGACCCCTATGGGTATTTAATCCTGGATCTCACACCATCCTGTCCAGAACAATACAAAGTGAGGAGTGGTTTACTTCCTGACCAGTGGCCCATCGTCTACCTGCCTAAAGCCAAGTAGGTCATCATGCCACAGCGTATAAAAAGGAAGGCCGTCTTACTAAAAGCTTTGTACCACACCACGCCTCAGAAACGTAAAGATATCATAGCTCACTGTTCCCTCGACTTTCTCCAGGCACTGTGTGAGTTAGCATTTAAATCTTTTAAAGGGAAACATTCTGCTATATACTTCTCAATACAAAAAACTGAGACGTCAAAATAAGATCATCAGACTGCTGGCCGATAAGATAACTAGATTGAAACGTAAACACCAGGGGCCTCATTTATAAAAGAGTGCTTAGGATTCATACTAAAAGTTGATGTGCGCCCAAAAGCTGAAAATGGCGTGCGCCAAAAAATAATCTGATTTATAAAACCGTGCGCACGCACACTTGCACGCAATGTTCTCTTTATAAATCACAGACCTCCTGGAGTTGTGCACACCCAGATCCGCCTCATATTCTGCCCTCTACACGCCCTAGTTCAACCATAAATGGTCATGCAAATCACCTCATGAATGCGATCTGCATATAAATAAGCCGGCATGCGAGTGTTGTGTGAGTCAAGGTGACGGGTGAGAAACGAACCAAAAAACGGAATTTCTCCGAGACTGAGCTAGAGACCCTTTAATGGGAGGTGGAGGACTGAAGAAAGATTTTATTTGGTGGCCACAGCAGCGGGATCACTAATAAAGCGAAAAAAAAGTGGCAACACATCAACGCTGCTAATGCTGTCAGCTGTGTCTGTGGGACTGCACGACAGTGACAAAAAAAAAAAAAAAGTGGTCTGATCTAAAGGTAGACCAAATATTTCTACTCCTTTACCAACATGTAGTTAATGTGTTGCTTTTAAATTTGAGGATGTTTGACATTGATGTGCGACATAAAGAATCACATTTATTAAAGGTGGAGGCAAAAAGGAGTATGTGCCAGTGCCATCTTGCGCAATTACGCACGAGGGTCACCGCAGTATTTATATGTTTATGGCAATTAGTCTGATCAGACTCCCGGCCTGAATTACAGCATGAACCAGTGGTATCCCTGTCCCAAAATACAACGTGTAATTTGAAATACAATTCAAAGATGAAAGTGTAATAGGCGAACACGTTTCTTCATGCTGGTTTTGTCATGAACAGCACATGTCTAAGTAGGGCTGATGAAATGAGTGTAACAGTTGTGCTTTATGGCTGTATTTCGAGACATGATAAATGCACTGGAAATATTTAATATATTCCATGCAGTCGCGCCGTCCTCTCCCCCTCCTGCGCTCACAGAGTGGACAATGAGATGTTAGAGGCAGTGCGGATTAAATATGTATTT